TCTCTCTCTCTCTCTCTCTCTCTCTCTCTCTCTCTCTCTCTCTCTCTCTCTTGCTCTCTCTCTTGCTCTCTCCCTCCCTCTCCCTGTGATCCCCTGCACACAGATGAAGCTCCAGCTCTCTCAGATGAGACCTGGTGGTCGCCAGTAGCGCCTCCCTCTCTCCTCTCTCTTCCTTCTCTCCCTCTCTCTCTCCCTCTCTCTCTCTCTCTCTCTCTCTCTCTCTCTCTCTCTCCCCTCTCTCTCTGTCCCTCCCCTCTTTCTCCCTCTCTGCCCTTCCATGTGATCACCTGCACACAGATGAAGCTGGGGCTCTTTCAGACGAGACCTGATAGTCTCCAGGAGCGCCTCCCTCTCCTCCGGGCTCACTGGACACTGGTCAAGCACACTAGGGGTGCTGGAAAAGTGGGGGAAAAACCATAGTTTTTTGTTTTTTTGTTTTTTGATTTAGTAGAGGTTGTACGGCGCTCGCAACTGCATAAGGTCATATGAGCGCCAGAAGATTAGAGGTGTTACAAGAGAGTAACAAACATAAAAAAGAAGGAGGGGAGATAAAGACGATAGATTGATAGGAAAGAAGAAGCAAACCACACCAGAGTACCCGCCACCCACCCACCAACTATAGGTTTAACGTCCCTTGCAACACTGTAAGTTATTTCAATGGCGAGAACAACGCATCTAACGTCCATCCCCGATACGACTGAGCCAAATAAGAAATTCATGTAAAGTGCAGTTCCCAAGAACACAACGTCTGACCAAGCTGAGGCTCGACCCCCTCCCCCCAACCCATCATCTAACGACTAACGGGTCCGGTAAACTAACCATTTATATATCAATCTAAGTCATGCTGATGTCAAAATCAATTGCCAAAGACAAATAAATTTATTGTATAAAAAAATTTGTAATAAACAATATACATAATACATTCTTGGTGCACAAGGCAAGAATGATAAATCTACACAGTGTAGTCGAGTACTCAATTAATCATGACATCAGCTGACAACCATTAGGTTACCGAAGCCATCTTCGAAAGGCTGGAAAAAGGAGTCAGTCAGGCCTTCAGACTCACTTTTCTTTACGTTTTGATGCGATCCAGTCTCAGTCTTACAGGGCCTTGAACCAATGATGATACATAACAAGATGGTCCACTCCTCTCTTTGAGCCAATTAAAAAAGTGTCTTCAAAATTCGTTGGCGCCCTCTTCGCAAATGAGCGGACTTTGCAAACAGAGTTACCGTACTTGTGTGAAAAACAATAAATGTGAAACTAACAAGTTTTTGAATAAATTAGAACTCAAATTTCGGAAGAACGCTTTTTAAAATGGTTACGCTGACAAAAAACCTCATCCGGTGAAAGAGTCGACTGTTTCCTTCGTTTAATTTGACTTTAGAATGAGAGACGAGAGGTCATTAAAAAAAAAAAAAAAAACCCTAATACTCCGCACTGAACGAACCCGAACAGCTGATGATTAGCAGTCGATTTGCGCACACAAGGAGGTGCTATTCCTATTCTTCTTCGGGAGAAACGAAAGAGAGCTTCAAAACAAAAACTGCAGTGCCATCTGAGCCATTGTGCGGACTTCCGGGGGACACTTTTATTTGGCTGAGAGGACCATCTTGTTATGTATCATCATTGCTTGAACTAAAATTACATTATAGCATAAATTCGGAGATATCCGATGCATTAAATTCCATGCATAAGAATGGAATTATTGTCGTTTGTTCTCTTCAAAACGAAGGGCAGTAGGGCTAATATCACAGATGCAGTGTGCTAAATGACCCCCCCCC